AGACAAAACACTTTTGGTGAGCCGCTCACTCTGGTCATGCATGGTCTGTCAAATAAGATGCCCATTTACTTATTCGGTGGATGAAAGGATGGCTGCCTGGTGAAACATATCAAACGGGATTCCGGTTGGTGCTAAACTCACAACTGATTTGAGTGTGCTAAGACTCCGGTAAACTCCGTTTAGAGGAGAGCAGGCAATCAAAAGGAAACAATGAACCGGTCAATTTGTCGGAGAAAGGTTTACAAAACACAATTACATATATGGGTTGGGGCGAGCAACGGGAACAAGGAGAGAAGCGGATTGGACGAGTTTAGAGAGCAAACTGTCAAGGAAATTGAAGAATGCTGTTTGCTTAGTCATCTGCTAGAGGAATATTTTCTAAACAGGGCTGGACGGGTGTATGGGGAAAATGGCCGCTGCCGTTCAAGTTTCACCCAATGTTCAAACTGATAAAAGCGTGTATCTACATGCGATCATCGGGACCAAATTCTATTTTATCTTGACTGCTCATCCAGGGACTGTTGTCGCTCTGTACAGTCTGAACCAGAGACGATTGTCGAACTTTCTGTGCTTTGAAGTTCCGGCTGCGCCTCGACACGTTCCTGATTCATGTCTCCATTTTCTTCTTCATCTTCTTCCTCACCAGTCTCCATGTCAATCCGAACTGTGTTAGTTCCACTAGAACTAAGCAAGTTTTCCGATTCCGTTGAAACTGTGTCTGATGAATCGGTAGAACCAGTAGCTTCGGAGCTTGACCCGCCGGTTGTATTTGAGGGGTCACATGGTAAACACTCACCCGAATCCCGATCACGATTCCCAGTGGAGAGTGGGTTGCACACAATTATTGGTGGTGAATCATTCAGAGAGTTCGGAAAAGTGGAAGCGGCTTCTGTTCCTAACACCTAATGAAAGATTGAAGATATCGACAAATGAGATTCAGTGAATAAGATATTCTATCAGTGAAATACTGGCCGTTCATTGAATGATGAAGCATCCTTTATGGAAGTTAATTCGGCATTGATTAGCTCAATAGTCAAGTAGTGAGCAATTTTGTGAATGCAAAAAATGTTAAACAGTTCGATTTATCCGTACAAGAAAAACAACACAGAAAAAGGCGTGCAGTGCCACACATGCGATTAAAGTGGAACAGTTTGGAGGATATGGTTTCTTTATTGAACATACATATATCCCTCTGCGGTGAAATACTTGTGTATCAAAGAAACTTGGTATTGTAGTGAAATAATTATTCTATATGCACTGTTATTCAGTGTCTCTGAATAGTCAGAAAAAGGTCGTTGAGAATCCCGTGAAAACGGCAATCCATTGGACATATGTGCAAAAGAATATAGACGCCCAAAGGTCGTTATTTGATCTGATCTGTTCGAGAGTGAACTGATTAACTTTCCCAAAGGATTGGATTGAACTGGACATCGAAGTTTGGCAAAAATAAGGCCACATTACTTCTGGTCCAAAAAATTATCCGGATGGCACTTTTACTTGTAATACCATGTTGTAAAGATTAAAAGGGGTCATCGGTTTAACGGCTCTGTGCCAACATAATTACACTGCACTTCGACCATTTCGCATTTCTCCTTTCAGTTGTTCTTTTTATAACATCCGTGTTATTTTCCAAACAAATACAAAAGATAGCACTCAGCTACCAAGATGACCAAAGATAAAACAATGAAACTGCACATAATAGGTGGGTGATCATGCTTATAGGAATAAACGAAATGGGACTAAATGCAAACGTACTGTTGTTTCAGAGCCATGCACGTTTACTATGCGTCTTCGTTTAGCCGGACTTTGTAACGCCTCGGACGAGACCATGCTACTTGGGGAACTGTCTTTGGTACTGACTGAAGCATCAGAAGGCATCGAAGATGGTGCATCAAAAGGAGAACCGGGTGTACGACGTTTATGTGAGAGTACCGGTGAGGATGATGGACTGACCACAGTCGCACAAGAGGCTGACTA